GCTCAAAGTTTAGATTTGCTTTAGCATATTAGCCAGTGACAGAAATGTTGGAGAAAACCACTCTAAGACATCACTTAATGTAACAATAATAAATAATTGCAATTCTCACCACCAATCACAATACAAAATACCTCCTTAATTTAAGTTTATGTCTCTAAACATCCTACTTAAACATTAAAGCAAGAGTAGGACAACGTATGGTGAATACTCTGTGAAAGAAGAAGAAATGTACCTCTATTATTCCTGCCTGGCGTGTAGCTGGGGAAAGAGCTGTCTCAAGGTCATAGGTCACGAGTGCTTTCGCCCACATTGCTTCATGTTCATATGTTCTTATCCTGTGACAGAAAAAGAAAGTTTTGAGTTTTCAAATGCCTACTGGTTCTTTACAGTTTCACAGAAGAGATATAAAATATGATCATTTACCAAAGAAATGAGGGAGTTATACCATTAGATAGAAAGGAATTAATTTTTAAAGCATACGAAGTAACTTGCCTAACAAGGGGTTGTAACATTTTCCCTCCACCACAGCCATAAAGACTATCAGGTTCTCCAATACTTCTATAAATTTCCATAAGAAGATCCTAAAATATCAGAATAACAAAAGAGAATGAGAGAAAAGAAATACAATTTTATGAATTTTAGTGTTGTCTTTGAAATTATACAATAAAAAAAGGAAAAAAAAAACTATAAAATAATGAGGAAGGTACAACCTCCTCCCCCCCTTCCCAAATCTGTAGTTTTATATTTTACAAATAAAGTGAATAAAATTATATTTAAGTATGTATTCCATAAAGTCATAGGTAGTAGAAATGTGGTATATTTCTGCTCAGTCTTGGGAGTCAAAGAACTACCTCCTACCTGAGGCCCAGCCCAGATAAATATATGCATATATCCAGGCCTTACTAGCCACAGTGATTCAGAAAGACTCTCTGCTAAGGTGAAGTAGTTGAGTGGCAATGGGGTAGACAGAGAGCTTCCCTAGCAGTCAAGAAGACACAGCTCACGTCTCACCTCTAAAACCTACTGGCTATGTCACCTTGGGCAAATCATTTCAACTTCTGGAGCACTCCAGGTAACTCTCTAAGACTGAAAGTTGCAGAGCAGATGCTGATCTACACTGGCAGAGAGAGTTTCCTCACCAGGTATTCCCTAAGCCATTAAATCAAACGTTTATTCTCTCCCCTTGCCCCCTAAATCTATTAAGCTGATGAGTGAGGGCTTCTGTTCTGCACTAGTGGAAATAGTATGCACCCTTATGAAATCATAGGTCCTAGAAGTACTGAAGCAAGTTACATTAATTTCAAAGACACATTATTTTTAGAAAGATAACAACAAAATGTTTCACAATCGTTAGAAAGTTATTTGACTAAATGAGAATTGTTATGAAATAGTATCTGTAAGTGGGTACTACTAATATGCTTGAAATAGCTTAAAAACAATTTTAACTTTAAGTTCAAAGGGTCACCTTAAATCCTATTTCAATTATTAAGTCTTATTTCATTTGGCAAATGTATGACTGAAAAAAAAAAGGGATGATTTCAAAATGATTTTGAGGAATACTGAATGGACACCTCACTCTATTGGGATCCATTTAATGTCAAGAAATTTCTAGGAAAACCTCCAGAACATCAAGTGAACCTACCAGGGATATTTATAAGAGGACAGGCAGGTATGGTTGTAAACTGCCATCACTGAAGGCAATACTCATATTGATCAGATTACAGGTCTACCAAAGTAATACAGATATTGTCATTTAAAAAAAAAATTCAAAGCCAAATTTCTTCCCAGTCACTAATTATGTGAAAGTTCTCATTAGGAGAATTTGAATTAATCAATCTGTATTGTATTTGCTTACTATGCCACTATGCCAATGTAAAAAAACTCCCTCTTGCTTTATTTTTAATTTGCAAATTCTGATATATTTAAAAGCCTGTACTCGGGTTAAATACAGTAAAAATTTTGGTTTTCAAATAACATTATGTACATACAAATAGATGTATATATTTATTTATATGCTCCTAACCTCAATAATCACTATTAAACAATTATTATTAATGTCCAAAAGGAGGCAGTCTATTTTACCTGTAAACTTATTCCAGTTTCTTCTTTACTTTTCTCACTCAAACTAGAAATAGTTGTACACGGACTTCCATCTTCAAATGTTAGACTTCTGCTTGCTGAGAAAGTAGTTCTATAAAAGAGATGACCCAATTTGAACTGTTGGACACTGTGTCTAGTGGAAAACTAACACAAACCCTTGATTGTCCTCAAAATTAGATTACTAAAGCAGGCACTAACTGTCCAAATTTGCCATGTAATTTTGCTAAAATTAGCCAAAATTTAACCCAAATATATCAAATGCAGGCATGTCTAAAGGCCTTTATATTTATCATAGAACTCAATTATTTCTTATTTTGAAGAAAGACAATTCAGTACTTTGAGTTTATATATGTTTTCACTACATGTAGATTAATACTAAATATATACTTAGAAAGATAAATATATTTCTATTTATATAAATATAAATATAAATAACTAAATATATACTTAGAAAGCAATGACAAACTTTTAAGAAAGCAAAGTGAAAAGCAGTGGATTTGGAGCCAGACAACCTGGGTTCAAATTCTATCTTTGCGACTTACCTAGGACTTTACTACTGAGGAAGAAACAACCTCCCTGGAGCTTAGATTCCTCAGGTCTAACAGGAGGGGGTTGGATTAGATAACCTCTGAGATCATTTCCATCTCTAAATATATCTTCTTTGTTGTTTACTTGTTTTTCAGTCATATCCAATGACTTTGTGGACCCATTAAGGGTTTTCTTGGCAAAGATACTGAAGTGTTTTGCTATTTCCTTGTCTAATTCATTTTACAGATGAGGAAATGGAGGCAAATAAGGTTAAGTGACTTGCCCAGGGTCACATAGCTAGTATGGGTCCAAGTCCGGATTTGAATTTAGGTCTTCTGACTCCAGGTCCAGTGCTTTATTAACTGCACCCCCTAGGTGACCCAAAAATATTATGTATCTTCTTCTGACCCTCAAACTGGGAAAGAACCACTTTTTTATTTACTATGTATTATAAGAGCCACATAATTGCTCTAAGGATGCTTATATACTAAAAATGACTATATCAACTCCAAATCTGGTCCATCACGCACCATAGTTATATAAATGATAGTTTTAGTCATATCCTGTCTGAAGGATTGTCTAAGACTTGAAAATAAATAATTTGTAAAAGGACATAAAATAACTATTGTTAGGTATCAGAATCCAGGCAACTGATTTTCCAGAGTACAAAAGCCTTACTATGTTTATATAATAGTGGCTGTCTTAAGCAAAAATAATTTGCAACCATGATGTGGAAAAGACTGCTAACTTCACCATTTTATCTTCTCTTTCAATGGGAATTGTTTTGTGGGAAGGGACCGAAAATCAATCCTACAAAGTGCCATAGAAAATGCATTCCCTCAAACTAAAGTTGATTAAAGAAATCAAATTAAGATGACACAAAGATCACAGAGATAGTGAAAATGATAGTATACTTTTTCCAGTGATTTGAACTATTTACCTTCTCAGCTCCATTTAAAAAAATTGATCCATTATCAAACTCAACTCAACAAATACTTATTAAATGAGTTCTATGTGCATGGCATAGGCTAGGTGCTGTAGATACAATAATGGCCCTGCCTTCAAGCAGTTTCAAGATTACTTAATAAATACACATACACAAATTTAAGATAATTTAGGGAAAAAACTCATACTAACAACTAAAAGTATCACAAAAAGCTTTTCCTAAGAAGTGGCTTCTTGTTGAATCTTAGGAAGCAGAGGTGATGAGTGAGTGCATTCCAGGCATGACAGATAGACTGTGCAATTGCACAGATATGACATAGAATGCTAAGTTAAAGTAATGGGTTAATATGGCCTGAACAGTGTAGCAATACATTAATAATTGACATTAAAATTGCACTTTAAGATTTTGTAGGAGCTATTATCTCATCTGATCTTGACAATAAATCTGTGAGATAAATATCAAAGATATTAACATTTCAATTTTACAGATGGGGAAAATGAGATATTAATGTTAAATGACTTGCCCAGGGTCATATCACTGGTAAGTACCTGAGGCAAGCTTTGAACTGAGGTCTTTTAATTCCAAAGTTTGGCATTCTGTTCACTATATCATGCTGCTTTCATGAAATAAGTCAAGTAATACAGGTCGGAGTTTGATTGCAAAAAGCTTTAAAGGTAAGCTGAGGAGCTTTAAAGATCTTATTTCAGCAGCTGTGTGGAGAAAGGAAAGACTGGAAGCAAGGAAACTAATTAAAAGGATGTTGCAATAATTTAACCAAGAGGTGATAAAGGACTAATGGTGATCACAATCAAAATCAGTAAAGTAATGAGAGTAATTCCACAAGCACACAAAGTAATCTCTTTCATTATTTAATCATTACACCTCACACTGATAGAAGGCAGAAAGTAACTGCATTTCTCTCTCCAATTTGTTTAGTTATTTGAACATAAACCGAGATAATGAACTGTAACAATAACCTTTGTTAATTTCTTATCTATCAAGAAAAACTTATCATTGGTAAGTTAAATGTTTGGTGATAAACTTAACTGAAAATAAAGACTTGATCATTCATTCATTTAAAAAATATTTACTGAGCCTCATCATTGGGCCAGGCACATTAAAGGATACAAAGAGCTTATCCACCCTCCTCAAGCAGTTTATAATCAATTAGGATTCTTAGTATTCTTAATTGGTAAAGTAGGAGTTTATTACCAAGTACACATAGTTCTTTCAATTACAGCAGAACTCTTCTATACTTCAAATAGCATTCCCCACTTCCCTTTGTATAAGGTCTATGTCTAAACTGTCTTCTTTTTAAAAGCCCCTCTTCCCAACTCCAGCAAGTTTATCTTACCATAAAGATGATTTAAATCTTTCAAGTCATTACCTTTTCTGCTGATCATCCAATTTTTTCCTGTCTGCATAGATTTCTGCATACAGTAATGCTGTGAAGTGAGCTGCACAAGACTGAGCTACCATGGCAACCTCCAAATAATTCAACTCCAGCCAGAAAGCATCATCAAAAACTGTCCCTGAGGAGGGTCTGATAAAAAATTAAGTGAGTCAGAATCCATTTCTTAAAATTTAATTTAAAAGTTCTTGCATAATACTACAATGACAGATATACATCAAATAGTGAGCTTAGCTAGAAAGTCAAGCTATCCTGCTACTTTGTTGGTAGACTAAAGACAAATAATTTTACAAAAATACATTGATATAACTAATCAGCATATTTAAAAATATTTAATATCTAAAGTCTCATCTAGCTCTAACATTCTTTGCTTCCAAAACCTTGCATAAATAAGCTACTGTTATAAAATGAAAAAGAATCTTCAAAAGACTTTAAATCAACATATTTATGCAGCTACATTTCATTATACAAAAACTTATTGGTGTCGGTTCTATGTCTTTGAATATCTTTAACAGAAAGAATCTAAAATCAGTTTAGTACTAATGAAAATTTTGCTCTTTCCCTGTTTCCTGAGAGATTCTGGGACATTAACTGTATAAACTGTTTAATCTAGAAACACATAACACTTTAAGGCTTACAGCTGCTTTTGTAAAAAGGTGGAATTAAAAAATGAATTAAAGGAAATAATCAAAATATGAAGAACAAACATGGTGATTGGAGAAAGGGGGAGAAAGGGTAGAGAAGGAATCTAGCCCTTTAATATGCTCACAATTAAACATAGAGCTATGTTTCTAAATCAGCACAGAGCTATGTTTCTAAAACTTTCAAGTCTGCAAATCACTTCTGAAGCCTTCAGACTCCTCCTACTCCAAAATCTTCACCTAGCATTGTTACTAATAAAACAACAAATACATTAGTATAAAACTGATTTTGTCAGAGTAAGATCATACAATCCTACACTGTGAAGGAATCACACAACACCTAACATAACGTACAACCAAACCATGAAATAAGAATTTCCTCTACAATGTCATATCACAGGACAACAGGTGTAAACAATATTACATTATAAAAAAGGACGCCAGGCTATACCACTCAAAGAAGCCATGTGTCAGCAGAGTTCTTCAGCAACTCTCCCAGAAATTAAAAACACAGAGGAAGGCCAATGGGGAGGTACGGAGAATCACACAAACCAAGTTTTAGGAGTAGACTGAAACCTGACAAATAACCTAGTCCAATTTTCTCATTTTCCTGAAGATGGTCAAGCACACAGATGTGAAGTAGAGATCAGAACGGCATGTTTAGGCTTCTCCCACTATACTATCCTGCCTCCTTTATTGAAGCTGTACAACAAAAGATATCTCTGAAAAGAATGAAACATATTGATCTGTTTCCATAGGTCACTTGGGGATATATGAATTGAGGAGCAAATTCAGTGACAAGATCAGTACAGTGGTAACAATGTGATATAGTTACAAGAACAAGACTTATCAATACAAAGCCAAGCAGAGATTAAGAGATTATCTTTAATCTTATAAGAGAAGGTAGGCCTTTTGGCTAACAGAAGAACTATTCATAAAGTCCTAATTCCAGCTCTGCTACTTCATACCTGTGTGATCCTGGACAAGCAACAATCTCTTTGGGCCTTAGTTTCTACATCTAAATGATCGGAAGTTGGACGAGGTGATCTCTAAAGTCCCTCAGACCAGCTCTAATTCTAAAAAGGTTCAGGTGTGCAACCACAAGTTGATAAATGGAACATATAAAGAACATAAAAAGTCAGGGTTTAATGAGTTCTGGTAGCCCTGGGCATTGTTTCATTTAGTTTCTGGCTACCATAACTTCCCCAAGAACTATAGCAACCTATTTGGCTTCACGAGCTATTGCAAGTTACTGCATGTGGCAGCTGTAGGCACCTAATACCTCAGTTATCTTAAGTTAGCAACTCATATTAACACGGTAAAATGATAAAAGCTTTTTCCATCTTTTATGATTCCACCTTCAAAATCCAAAAAGGCCCTGATGCTGCATTCATTACCTTCTTTGTCTTCTCATATAGTCCACAACAGAAAGCATTGTTCGCCTGGATTTTTTATCCAAAGATCCTCGAAATAGAAATTCTGATTCTAAGTTAAAAAAGATATAAAATTTGGCAGAAATGAACCTTCTTCTGACCCATCAAAACAAAGAGCACTACCCAGAAATTTAAAGTTTATCTATGACACACATGAATTTTCATATATAACTTTTTAATCATTTCCTCTAAAAATAGGGTAAAAATGGCTAAGGAATAAAGGGTTACAGAATTCTTTTCTAAACAACAGAAGTCTAATCACAAAACAGTAAATAATCCATATTAAGTATATAGTACAAGTGAAGCTACCTAATGTTTGAAATGTTATACTATGGCAGATATCTCTGTATAGCCATATCAAAGACATAAAACTATTAAACTGAATCATAAAATGATAAAAAAAATTCCCAGGTTATCAATGAAGTTATTAATGATCAAACAAATGAAGACTGTATAAAAATGTATAAAATGTTTTAATCCATATATTATTTTAATACATCAAAAGCATAAAGATGTTTATAAACATTAATACTAAGCTCTTGCTTACATTCATATTGGTTATACATGCTTTGGGCCACATAAGCAATTTTTAACCCTAGAGTAGATTTCCCCTGCCATCTCGCACTTCTATGATTCATGTCTACCTTGTGATTACCTGAGGTGTATTTAGGGAACACAAAGTAATTTCTAAATTAATTTAAGAAAAACTTAAGAAAAAATATAAAAAACATATATAAAATATATAATATATAATAAAATATAATATACAATATAAAAAACTTTAAAAAAATATAAAAAAGAAATCCTGTTCCCTCCAAACCCCAACAACTTTCATTATTAAATCAAATGAAAATAAAATACTTGTAGTTTTGATCTTTTAGAGCAAATGTTCTATATTATCCGTGACATTGCTTCCTCTTCATTAGTATGGATAATTAAGGGTTCTCTTTACATAAATGCAAGTCTAGTTCTATTTAACAATATTTACATTTCAGAAGCTTTTAATACCTGAATCTAAAGTTGCAGGAGTTGTGGATCGGCTGGATTGTGAAGAATATCTGGAACAGTTAGTAAAAAATCCCTGGATATGCACAGATAGGAGATTTCGCCAGGACTCATTTGTATCATGGAGCAAAATATCATGCATCAAATATGGAAGCACATACTGACAAAAGCTGGGTTTCACCTAGAATACACAAATACATCCAGTCAAAGGTTTAGGCAAAAATAACATGTTAAATTTCACATTTCCATTCCTTTCTACAGGCTTATTACACTTTAAAAAAAATGACAAATGTTAGTGGCACCGGTGCAGTATACCTATGTCAAACAAATTGGTGAACTTAAAATCTCTAAGATTTACCTAAACTATAGTATCCTGATTACAGTTAATATTTAAGAAACAAATAAGTACCTAGTCACACAATAAATGTTGCTTATTAATAAGTGAATATGTAGTCTTCCAAGAAACATACTCTTCCTCTGGAATACTAAGAAAATGAAGTATAGCACAAAAAGGGAAATGTGAAATTGTCAATTTTGCATATTTACAACAGTTATCCAGAGAGCCATGATATCAAAACATTAAAAATATGTGTTTTTAATAGTTTACCTAATTTTTAAAAATATGCAAACCAGAGATTATCAAGACTGGTTACTTACAATGTATATCAAACTTTATATGATATGTATGATATGAACAGCATGGAATTAAACTAGTAGGAATGAATATGACATCAAACTAAAACTAGAGAAAAATATATGTCTTTTATAGGGAATTAAGAAGTAGGAAGAGAATAATGATACATAAGTAAGATATGTTACATATGCCAAAAGGATGAGGATGCTCATCAGTAACATTATCTTCAAGTATGAAGATTTGTATAACATTTGTGGAAGGTTATGACTACCACAGAGAATCAAGATTTATGCAAAATAAAGAAAATTTTTTTTAAAGTAAAAGACGGAAGAGATTAAGCCAAACAGAATCTTGGAAGTGATATGTATTCTTCTTACTTCACACAGTGGCTTGAGTAATAGAAGAATTTCACTTTTTATGCCCCCACTGTTCAAAAGTGTACAAGTCAATGTCTTGATCCAACTATCGTGGCTTTCTTCCTGAGGAATCCACAAATTTGGATCATCCAAGCTTTCCAAAGGCTTTTCTTTGTCAATTCTAGGAATTTCTAGAAACTAAAAAGAAAAAGTCCAAGTCATATGAAAGTAATAATGAGGTGTCCTATCTTTTCTCACAGGTCCCACGAGCTGCTCAGTCTCCTCTCCTTCACAGGGTTTTTCTGAGGATGAAAAGAGACAATGTATGTGAAAGTAATATTACACAAGAATTCTGCCTTTGCCAAGGGCCTTAAAAAGACCGACTAAAATACAAAACACAATGGCAAAAGCAAAGTATTCATGGTAATGGTGGGTTCTAAAATTAAATTATCAACTGTAAATGATTTCTTAAGTGCCTGAGGTGTGGAGGTGGGGCAGTGAGAAAATGAGGAAAGCATGAAGGAGCAACAGAATTATCAAAAAGAATACACCTCCTTACCTTCCTTAACTAAGGCAAGGGCTTAAGGATAAAGAAATTTTAAAAATTATACAATCAATATATTAGCTTTTCTTTTAGTAAAAGAACATTGTGATAAGTTGATTGGATGATTATTTATCAAGATGCTATAGAGAAAACTCATGCCTCATGTAGAGATCTAACAAGATGATTTCTAAGGTTCTTCCCAATTTTAAAATTCTATGACTGTAGGTTAAATCTTTCTGGAAAGAGGTATCTGCCAGTTTACCAGAGAAGCCTAAAAAAGAGAACCTAACGTGACTGAGGAGTAAGAGAATCACCAAACAGAATTAAGATGACTGACCCCCTACTCGTCTAGTGAAAATAACATACAAACCAATTTATGAAGATGGGAAACAGAGGAATTGCCTATCCTTAGAGCCATAAACAGCCCTTGTGCTTTTTTTTTTCCCCAAATGTGCTAAGTAAAGTGCACAATTTTAATTCTATTCTTGACTTAAATGTTAGTGGAAAAAGATAAATTCTTTCAAGGGAATTGCATCTCATACTTCTCTATCTCCTATGACACCCAGTCTAGCACTAGGCATACAGAAGGTATTCAGTAATTACTGAGCAAGTATTAAACATACCTTTTTCTTAGATGTTCTGAAAGGTTGTAGGTATACAAGCATGGGGTCAGTTGTTTTCTTATAAACCTCCCAGAACTCATGTCCAGTCTTTGTGGCTAAAATATTTTTCAAACATGCAACAGCAGCTGATCGAACCTTAACACTGAAAAATATACACATTTGAACCAGTACCTTTTACATATTTCACAAAGGCACTTTTGATAAATATTAACAAATAATCAACAAATTCCTTAGAAAGCATGAAAATGAGTTCAGAAATATATATGGAAGAATTTAATATATATTAAGAAATTTAATATGATCATTTAATGCAATGATGAAATTATAACCAAAGGATTCAACATGATCCTTCAACTTTAAAGGAAGAATACACACCCATAGAGTCCAGTGAAATTTAAGGTACTACAATTAAAAATTTATTAGACAAACTCTCTCCTTCCTTCCTTTGACCTTGAAAAGTAGTCTTTACCTCTCATATGTACTTATGTTCTATTTTGTGTTATATTTATCCCTAGATATATCATATCTTTTCCTGGCCTCTCCTAGATCATAAGCTGATCTCATGGATACTTTCTTTTCTCTCTCTTTTTTTTCCCCTTTTCTTTTTTTTGTGTGAGGCAACTGGGGTTAAGTGTCACAACTACTGTCTACGAAGCCAAATTTGAACTCAGGTCCTCCTGACTCAGGGCCAGTGCTCTATCCACTGCGCCACCTAGCTGTCCCTCTCTTCCTCTTTTTTTAAACACTCTTTTCCTGTCCCTTCCTACCTATCTGATCTTTTTAATCTGCTATGCTAGATCTTCATCCACGTAACTAATTTGTGAGTCTATACCAAGACTCTATCCTGGGCCACCTTCTCTTTTCTCTCTATGCTCTCTCACTAGTGATCTCATTATGTCTCATGACTTTAATTAGTATCGGTATGAAGTTCTATATATCCATCCCTACTGTCTCCTGAGCTTCAGTCCAACATCACCAACCGACTATTAGACATTTCAAACTGATGTCCCATAGACATTTCATACTCAATATGTCCAAAGAAAACTTATCATCTCTCCCCTAGTCCCCAAACCTATTCTTATTCTGAATGTCTATATTACTGTCAAGTCCTTTCAGTCATCCAGGTTCACAACCTCAGATTCATCCTCAACTCCTCACTCTTTATCACCGCACATAGTCAATCAGCTCCATTTTGTTTCTATCTCTACAACTGACTTGTGCAGGCCTCTTCCTAGAGTCATTTAGGTGGCACCATGGATAGAGCTGAGCCAGCAGTCAGGACAACCTGAGTTCAAATTTGACTTCAGATATTCTCATATATATATATATATATATATATATATATATACACACACACACACACACATATATATATATATACACACACATACACATATATGTAAAACAAACCTGATTATCTGATTTCTCAGACCAGAAGAGATAAAAAGCAACCAAAAATAGGAAAAGTTGTAGGAAACATTCATATCAATAGTAGAAATAATTGGAGATGTTCTAATAACAAGAGAAAAAGAAGGAAAGCTACTATATTTTAGTCTAATTCAATAACTGAAACTCTTAACTCTGAATCATTAAGAAAGGTTGTTATATTCAACATACTGTTTGAAAAGGCAGAGAAATGTATCATGCATTCCAGAAAAGTTTATATCAAAAATGGCTAAATTTTTTTAAAATTTGGTACTTAAAAACTTCATTTGTCAAGACTCATCTTTATGAGTCCAAATCCAACCTCAGACATTTACTAGCTGCGTGACCCTGGGCAAGTCACTTAACCATATTTGCTTCAGTTTCCTCATCTGTAAAATGAGCTGGAGAAGGAAATGGCAAACCATCCCAGTATGATTCCCAAGAAAACTCCAAATTGGGTCACAAAGAGTTGGGCATGACTGGAAAACACCCAAACATATGGAAAATTCACTCATATGCAATCTCATTTCCTAGGAGACAGATAAATTAGGCAGTATTACATAAAAAAATACTCACCAATCTTCTACCAGTACATTATTTAGATATGTGAGCATTATGAAGGTCCACTGTAGTTGTTTATCCTCAAATAAGTCAATGGCCTTGGAATAAGATGCATCTTTACCATGTTTAATGGTTATTGTAGAAAAATTTATAGGGCCCACTTCTCCCAAGCAGCTTCCAACAGCCTCTACAAATAGAAACACCATTTTAGTATAAGCTTAATTTTCTGCAGAATTTCTGCAATGTTGAAAAAACTAAAATAATCTCTTAATGTCAAGAACATCTTACTGTTTCACAATTCAAGGTTCAACTATGTTGTAAAAGATTTAGAGTGAAGTAAAGAAACAAATTTATTTAGGCCTTGAATGACCTCAAATTTCTAACAGACACCAAAGCTCTTCTTAACACCAGTAACCTTCCAGTATCACTGAATGGCTGTAAGTCATGGAACACCACTGTCTCCAAAGAGGTCGTTCAGCCACTCAGCCAGTGAGCAATGGAGAGGGGAGAGAAAAACTAATTATGGCCTTTGGCATCTATATACTTAGGCATCTATGTATAGAATGTATGTAATAAACAAGGTGAACTTCAAATTTTAACATAAATTGATAAATTTATAGAAGTCACCAAGACTTGGTGTGATGAGATTTATAATTAAAATACAGGAGTGGAAAGGGTATACTTTATTCAAAGAAATACTTCCAATGAAAAGGGAAAGGGAGCAGCACTCTTAAATCATGAAAGTCTATGTGTATATAAAAATCGACAAATTAGAGAATGGGATGTACACTTGGGTGTGGATGAAAGAGGAGACAGAAATGGTTAAGTTTCACTCTGAAGAGCTAAAAAAAACTCACAAATGAGCCTAATTCTAGCACAACAGCACTCTGGAAATAGTAACTTTGTAGGGAACAATTTCAGTAGAATGATAAGGCCAGAAGCAGATTTAAGGATTTAGTCCAAATCACACTAAATCAAAACACATAATCAGAACAATTTTTTGGCACATGAACTTTAAACAAAAGTGACATAAACTTACACTGGAAAGGTGACAAGCATTACAGTAGTCATTTGGGACCCTGCAGGGTTCTGGCAGTGTCTACATTTGCATTAGGAGAAGGGAAATTATGGGTGCTTCTGACTTTCCAGACTTCAAGATCAGATCTCTGCTATAGTCTCACCCTAAAACCTCCATCTGTCATGCCAGCCCCCCGCTTCTCTGGTGCCTTTTTTTCTGGGGTTTCCATTTTGGAGAGGCCACAGGCTAGGCACTCTTAATTCCTTTCTGACTTCCTGGATTACCAATACCATGCCCCTCTTCAAGAACCTTCATTCTCCCCAGCTGCTTTTCAGTCCCCTTTTGTGTGATGTTTTCCCCAATAGAATGTAAGCATTGTTGAGGTGCTTTTTTTTTTGTGCTACTTGTATTATATTCCCAGGATTTATAGTGCTTAATAACTGCTTGCTGCCTTGTGAAAAAGAAGGCGATATTTTTCTAATTAGAAGGCTTAGAAAGGAATAGCTGGATACTGTGCTATTCCACAGAAGTTATGAGGAGGTGGCACAGCTGGAAGGGTAGAAACACTTTCCGTTACTACCATTTGTCATATTTGAGGCAATAGTGCTAGAACAATTTTGGGCTAGACGTTTCCTTCCCTCTCCTGTTCTGAATCTATGAAAATCTGTAAAAAGCAGAAAATTTGCTATCTATATTGAGAAAAATTGTTCCCGAACACATCTGGGAAAAAAAATCATTTTTTTCTACTGAACACAAAGCATAGAATGCTGCTTTACTCCATAAAGTCTAGTCTCAAAACTTTTATGTGGTTATGCTTCTCAGAATTCAGTGTAACTCTGACACGTCTGTTGACTAACTCTGGAAGCAAGAAGGCATTTATAATTTGCCCCAAGTCCTTTGCATATGGACATCTGTAATAACTGTTTAAATAAACAATTTACATGAATAAAACACTGTCCTATCATCCACTTTTAAGTCTGAGCAGGGAAAAAAAAAGTATGAAAGAAAACTGACTAACATGCCTCATTTTCCTAACACCCAAATTAACAAAACTGCACTATACTTTTCTATGGTGGTAAAGATTTTCATGTATAAGATCTAAACAACTGGTTGTGAAAATTTACAGACACTTATTAAGCTAAAAAATTTACCTTGTGGTATATGATTGTGATGGAATACTATTGTGCTATAAGAAATGATGCGCAAGATGCTTTCAGAAAAACCTGGGAAGACTTAGATGAACTGATGCAAAGTGAAGTGAGTAGAACCAAAGAACATCATACACTGTAACAGCAGTACTACAGAATGATCAACTATGAAAGACTTAGCCATTCTGATCAGTACAGTGATCTAAGACAATCACAAAGTACTTATGATGAAAAAAGCTACCCACCTCCAGAAAAATAACTGACAGAATCTGAATGCAGATTGAAACATACTTTTTTACTTTATTTATTTTTCTTGGGGTTTTTGGCCTGTGTTTCCTTTTACAATGTGGCTAATATGGAAACATGTTTTGCATGATTTCACAGGTATAATTGATATTTCTTATCTTCACAATGGGTGGGAGAGGGGTTGGAGGAGGAGAATTCAGAACTCAAAATTTCTAAAAAATGAATGCGAAAAATAAGTAATAAAATTTTAAAAATCATTTACCTAACACTTCCTTTTCACCAGTATGGTTTATTGCCATCTTGGATAGCTGCAGTAAACTCACAGTAAGCTTCACCATAATGCCATCTTGTGGGTTATCTAGGATTATGATGGAAAAAAATTATTATAAACATCCCATTTTTATTTAAAATACACATATACCAGTTCAAAAAGAAATATTTATTAAGCACTGTGTGCAAGACACTTGCTAGGGGCTGGGAATACAAAGGCAAAAGAGAAATAATTCCTGCTTTCAAGGAGTTTACACTCTACCAGATGAGATAACAATCACAACAAGGAATTAAATTATCTGACTATAATTCACTGGATCATAGATCCAGAGCTATAAGGACTGCCAGAGATCACTGAATTCAATTCTTTCCTTCTGTAAGATTTATAAATGATGAAGTTGAGGCCAAGGGAGGTTAACTGACTTGCCTATGGTCACACAAGTAGTAAGCAGATTTGAATTCAAACTATCCTAGTTTTGTTCATCAGTCCCTATGCTAAGTAAAAGTAAGCTCTTTAAGGGCAGAGCCTGGTTTGTTTTTGTACTTCTCAATGCTCTACAGAGTTGTCATTTCCTTAATGTTTGCTGATTTGCATTTCAAGTATCTTCCCCTCAGTAAGTGTGCATTAAACATGTTTGGAACATCCTTAAAACATAAAAATCAACCATATAAATGGTAAAAATGCAACCAGCAACATCTGAAACACAGGAAGAGAAAAGCTAGTGGGGCAAATTTTAGGATGAAAGACAAATGCTCAAAAGAATTCTAAAGGAACAAAATCATTGGTGCTGATAATAAAATGAAATCAACCTGACAGAAAGGCACTGGACTTGGAAAAGACCTAGATTTGAGTCATAGTTTTGCCAATCACTATTTTTATGACCGTGGAAGTCACTTAAATTTTTCAAGCTCTCATATGGACAAACGTAGCAATAATATTTTGGGAAGAACGTAAGAGCTGTGTGTGTGTGTGTGTGTGTGTGTGTGCTATTATTATAATGAAACCCAGAATATTAGCTTCATAAAGGACCTTCAGGAATTACTGGAATATAAACCAGTACATATTCTCTTTTTTTCAGGTCTCCAGAAGTGGAGCTCAACGAGGAATACAGAATTTACAACAAAAAAATGGATGTGCAGTTGGATTTCTACAGAAAAGATATTCTCACTGGCCCCATCTCTTTTGTTTTGTTGATGCAGTTTATCTTTACATCACAATCGTGATCCATCCCGAGAATAATTACTGTCAAGAAGAAAGATACATTTAAGAAAATCTACATGATTTAAATCATATGACACATAACTCTGATCATATTACTCTAACACTCAAAAACTTAGAATGACTCCTTATAGCCTACTGAATAAAATTCCAAATCGTTAACCTGGCATTCAAAGTGTCTCACAATTTGATCCCAATTTACTTTTCCAGGCTTTACCAAGTTCTCTTTACTTAGTTTATGCTTTAATCAAACTGGACTTTGTTATTAGTATGCAGATAAAATGACATGTTGTATATAAGAAATCACAGGTTTGCTTCCAAATTAAGATAATCTGATACATAAAAATCTAAACTCTAAAAAGAGATAAATTAGGGAAGATGAACATTATGAAAGAATTTTTGCTTTATTTCAAAACATTTATTAATTGAATTCCTCTAAATAATGAGCTTCTACAGTGTAAAAAAACACGTCACAAATAATTTAGTACCCTGAGACTCTTTCAAAAGGTCCTTCATCTGATCTTTATGTTGTTCCAATTGCTTTCGAAGTTCCTTTAATCCTTCAAGTCTAGTCAAAGGCAGTGAATCACAGACACTTACTGAAAGGAAATGGTTAATTTCCTAGAAAGGAAAAAAAAAATAATTTAAAATTGCTTCCAATAACAAACAAGAATTAAAGACTGATTTATGATAGCTATACAAAAAGTCTGCCAGTATATGGAATTGACCTTCTGAGGATGATTTAAAGGACAGTAGAGATAAGAATCTCAAGGGATAACAAGCAAGGGTGTGTTATAATACTTATCATTAAAGTACTCACACTGAAGAGACACTAAGTGTCTAAAATAAGTATGGTATAAAGATATGCACATAACATTATAACATGCACATATCAAACAGATAAATGTCAAACACACATAAAGTTCAATGAGATATTGTACAGGTCTCTCATTTAAAAATGAAGAAAATGAGGCCTGATAAGGCTAGGTGATTTGTCCAAGGTCACCCAACAAATGAGGGACTGGAATGCAGGTTTCCTGACTCTCCAGTCCAATGTGTTTTTCATTATACCATACTGATATTGAGGTCTAAGGGTACTGGGACCCTGAAATCACAACACACAGGTCTTGCCCAAAAGAATTCGACCCAAGTTTTCTTTCAGTCAGAGACAAGGTTTATTAGAACATCTGTCATATTGGGCAGAATCTAAGCATTTGTATCACTAATGCAAGCGGGCCAGATTTTAAGAATCTGAGCACCTTAATGGAGACAAGATGGACCTTATATACAGAAAGACTGTGGGAGGGATCTAGGAGTGGTCACGTAGTTTGGGGTGCCTGGAGGAGGGGTCTAAGGAAGACCTGGATGGGAGTGGCCAATAAACTGGGGTGAACAGAATGCCTGGAACCAGGACCCCATGGGCAAGGGAGAATGGAGTCTAGATAGGATTAAGGGTGGGAAGTGGCTAGGGGCCATCTGGAGGTATATTTAGGTGATAATGAAAGGCCAGTGGATAGGATTCTAGCCAGAGATTTGGCCATGAGGGGAAATCCAGGGTTTTTCCTTTTTGGGGTCTAGATCCCATCCCTATTACCAGCATTCAATGTTGTCCTCTTTGCAACTAAATGTTGTCTGACCTAAACCATCACCTATATAAGTTTTTCACAGCTGAAATTATTAGTAATAACACAGAAATATTTCATAATAATATCAATAATGTCAACCTATAACTATTCCCCCTTCCAGGAAGTCCAACTGTCCATTTTCCTGAATCATAATGAGGTCTAGATTCGTGGGGTGCTGGGACCCCGGCACAATACGCGGGCCCTGCCCGAATGAATTTGACCCAAATCTTCTTTCAACCAGAGACAAAATTTTATTAGGGATGGGCCATACAGACCAGACCCTTAAGGAATCTGAACAAGAGTGACACCGGTAAGGAGCATCATGAAGGATATCTCAGCGTTTAAATGGGGGCCAGGGTGGTTCTTATATATACTCAAGTAATTTTGGATGACCAGAGGAGGGGCTGGGAAGAGGATCTGGGTGACTGGAGGAGGAGTTTGGGGAGAATGGGAGTGTCTGGATGGGGTCACCCAGGAATAGACAATGAAGGGTTAGCCTTTTATTAGGGTAAAGTTTATTAGGAAGAGGTTGAATTGGGTCTGGATAAGATCAAAGGTGGAATATATCAAAAACTAGGATCAAAGCTTCATTAGAATATTAAAGGGAGACAGAGAGAGTGGGAATAAGAGATAAGGAAAGGTCAGTTGACTACAGTATAGCCTCAGGTAATCATTTGAGACCAGAGTGAGGTCAAAGAAAATTTAAGGGTTTTCTGGGGCCTGTAGACAAATGGGATCCAAATTCTTTTTGGGGAGCGGGGCAAAGGTCTCAGCTTGGGCCCATACCCCATCAATAAAGGTAAAAAACTAATAGAAACAATCATTCTTACCACAGTTTTGGTGAAAAGTAGAAATGAAAAGAGAAGAAAATAGAACACACACACACACTCATATCAAAATATAATTTTACTAAAAGCAAATTTGGCCCAACAACTCTATAAAAAAGCATAAAATTCAGTTCCAGATTTTAGATGTCTAAAATTGTGCTATTATTTATATACATCATAAAAGACACATGGCAGACTCAGTGAAAGCATTTAACTAGGAAAGGAAGACGGCAATATCTACAGATACTGCATGAAGATTGACATTTTTATATAATATATAGGAATAAATCTCTTCTTCCATTTCAAATTTTTTTTTCAAATTTTTCAAATTCAAGTCTTTCCTATGCGGTTACCGAACTGATCTTTGATCTAGCTTGGTGATCTCATCAGTTTCCAAGGACTCAATTATCACCTCCATGCATATCACTGTCAGATCTATTTATCCAGCCTTAATCTCTATGCTGACCTCCAGTCTCACATCTCCAAATGCCATTCAGATATCTTGAACAAGATATCCAAAAAACAACTCAACACGTCCAAAACTTAACTATCTTTTCCCCCAAATACTCCCCTCTTCCAAACTTCCCTCTTTCTGTCAAGGGCATCATCATCATCATCCTAATCACCCAGGCTCACAACCTAAGTATCATTCTTGACTCCTCCCTCTCTTACCTCACATAACCAATCTGTTGACAAATCATATAGTTTCTACACAAGGAACATCTCCTGAATATACCCTCTTCTCTCCTCTGACACAGATGACAAAAAAGTGCAGGCCTTCATCACCTCACACCTGGACTACTGCAATAGGCTTCTGGTTGGTCTCCTTGCTGCAAGTCTCTACCCACTACAATCCATCTTCCACTCAGCTATCCAAGCCAATGTCCTAAAGCATAAGACCAACCATAACCTTCATGACTTTCAGAACCCAACACACCTGTGCTCATGGTGGAGCCTGTTATTAGTGTTGCCCCCCTTCCATGGAGATGTCCAGGATCACGTGGCACAGGGCCAAGCAGGAAACTATCTGTTCTTTGTTTGCTGCCAGAGGGACAAATTCTGTGAGGCAGAAGGACAAGAACTCATTCAGACAGGTTTCTTGACCTTCATCACTGCATTCTCCATGGACCAAGAAGAAAAGATTTACATGTAGCACCACCTACAGAAGCACAAGATGCTGGTATGGGAGCTGCTGAACCAGCACGAAGCATACATTTACCAAGCTGGCTTGTTGTTCTGATCAGAGGGGAGACCCTCAGGTCCTGATGCTGCTCCCTATCTTACCGAGGTGCAGCAGGCCATGTGTTTCCAGGCTGAGTTCTGGGAGATGCTCTCCACAATCCCCCTCCTCATACCCTACCTAACCCCTACACTCAGATTTGGATCTGACTCTCCACTCTTCAGATCTGGGTCTTGAACATATTCTTTAGGCCCTCTCCACCCATACCTGTCTTCCTCACTCTGTGACTAGATCTCACCATCTTTACTCTGTCCCAAAAACTGGATGTTTTTCTTTACAACTGGAGACACTGATGATCTTCAGCTGCTGTTAAGAAAAGAATGACTAAGGGGGTAGAGCAAGGCCAGGGTATCTGATTCTGTGATTAGCTAGGGAAGTGGGGTTGAGATGTGAATGACAAAGCAATAATATGGCAAATTGAAAAAAGTTACACATATACCCCTCGCTCCCTGCTTAATGAACTCCAATGATTCCCTATTACAAAATCCTCTGTTTGGCTTATATAGCCCTTCTCAACTTGGCCCTTTCCTACTTTTCCAATTTTTTACATTTTATTCCTCTCTGTATCCTTTGTTATTGAGAGACATTGGCCCTCTTGCTGTTCCTTACACAGGACACTCCATCTCCAGACTCTGTACTTTTCATTGGGATCTACCAAGCCTAGAATGCTCTCCCTTTTTATCTCTACCTCATGGCTCCCCTGGTTTCCCTTCAAGTCTCAGCTCAAATCTTATATTCTGTAGGAATCTCTTCTAGTTTCCCTTAATGTTAGTTTCTTCCCCCTGAGAGTGCTTACTATCTATACATTATATACCTTGTATGTACATAGTTGTTTGCATATTGTTTTTCCCATGAGAATGTGAGCTTTTTGAGGGAAGAGATTTTTTTTTTGCCTTTCTCTCTATCCCAAGAGCTTAGTATGGTGCCTAGCATATAGTAAGCACCTAATAAATGCTTACTGACTGACTACAGAGCTCAATTTTGGAATCTACAGAGCTGGCAATGATCATATGGAATAGACATAGGAGACAAAGAGCCTGTGCAGGAGATCAGTTATCAATTTTTCAATACCTATTTTCAGATTCCACAAAAATGAAGCTAAACATAGTATTTAGTTTTTAAATGCCAACACAAGAAAGTTTCAAATCCATAAGAAGGAAAAAAATACACTGACAATATTATCTAAGTTTTCCCAAGATTCGCATTCTTTTAAAGACATGAAATGCTTCTTTACACAAACTCACTAAACTGGAAGAAGGCCTGTTTTCAAAATGGGCTCTGTTTTACAAGCATTGCCTCTGAGTAAGATTTAAGTTTAAATTAGAAAATTATCATTTTAACTCAGAATCTTTCATATTTTCCCTTCTGATATGAGATAAGATTGAACAGTGAATATTGTCATTATGTTTCTGACTCTCTTGGGGTCTGTATAATACTTATTGCAGGCAGGGATTCAGGCAGCAGAGAACTATTCAATCCCATCTAATTTAAGTACAATTTCTATTCAGTATATCACAGAATATCAG